AGTCGGATGCTCTCTAATGCTCCGACAGAAACGATAGCTACAAATCATTCCAAGCAAACAGTTTGAGCCAAACTTATTCAATCTTTCATAATCAAAATGATACCAAATCGTTAATTTTATTTTCGCACCTTATACAAATTACTTTGATATCACGGGTAGAGTGAGGCTGCTAGAGTGAGGCTGTTTAGGAAATGTTAAATTGTCAAAGCAAGATGTGTTTACGGTCATGATACACACACAGGACGATCTAAATGAGCTTGATATGTTTTTAGTAAATCATGAATCCAGTGTGATGACCGTTGCTTACCATACAATCTCCATATTATGCCAACTTAAAATATGGGTTAATATAATTACTTACTCTATATTACAGTTACCTTTGAAGTAAAATTGGATGGTAAACATTTTGTCATGTCTGCCACTAGTCCGTCACTAATCCATGTTCATTAACATGGCGTTATGCTGGCTTCAACATGGGGGAACACTAGTTTACTGCTCAGTGCATTAGGAAAGGATTCAGACCCCTTAACTTTCTCCACATTTTGTTATGTTGAAGCCTTATTCTAAAATGGATTAGATAGTTTTTTCCCCTCATCAATCTACACACAATACCCCATAATGACAAAGCAAAAACAGGGTTTTTGCACATTTTTACAGAAACATACTGAAATATCACATTTCCATAAGTATTCAGACCCTTTACTCAGTCTTCTTGGCTATGACGCTACAACACAGCTATTTTCAGGTCTCTCCAGAGATGTTCGATCAGGTTCAAGTCTGGGCTCTGGCTGGGCCACTCAAGGACATTCAGAGACTTGTCCCGTTTTCACTCCTGCGTTGTCTTCGCTGTGTGCTTAGGGTCGTTGTCCTGTTGGAAGGTGAACCTTTGCCCCAGTCTGAGGTCCTGAGTGCTCTGGAGCAAGTTTTCATCAAGGATCTCTCTGTACTTTGCTCCGTTCATGTTTCCCTCGATCCTGACTAGTCTCCCAGTCCCTGCCTCTGAAAAACATCCCCACAGCATGATGCTGCGACAACAATGCTTCACCGTAGGGATGGTGCCAGGTTTCCTCCAAAGAATCTTGTTTCTCATGGTCTGAGAGTCTTTAGGTGCCTTTTGGCAAGCTCCAAGCGGGCTGTCATGTGCCTTTTACTGAGGAGTGGCTTCCGTCTGGCCACTCTACCATAAAGGCCTGATTGGTAGAGTGCTGCAGAGATGGTTGTCCTTCTGGAAGGTTCTCCCATCTCCACAGAGGTACTCTGGAGCTCTGTCAGAGTGACCATCAGGTTCTTGGTCACCTCCCTGACCAACCCCTTCTCCCCCGATTGCTCAGTTTGGCCGGGCGGCCAGCTCTAGGAAGAGTCCTTTGGTGGTTCCAAGCTTTTTCCATTTAAGAATGATGGAAGCCACTGTGTTCTTGGGGAACTTCAATGCTGCAGACATTTTTTGGTACCCTTCCCCAGATCTGTGCCTCGACACAATCCTGTCTCGAAGCTCTACGGACAACTCCTTCGACCTCCTTCATGGCTGTGCTTTTGCACTGACATGCACTGTCAACTGTGGGACCTTATGTAGACAGGTGTGTGCCTTTCCAAGTCATGTCCAATCAATTGAATTTACCGCAGGTGGACTCCAATCAAGTTGTAGAAACATCTCAAGAATGATCAATGGAAACAGGATGTACCTGAGCTCAATTTGGAGTCTCATAGCAAAAAAAAAAGTCAAGGGGTCTGAATACTTTCAGAATGCGCTGTAGACAGAGCTAAGAGTCTCACCAAAGCAGTGCAAAATATCCGGTTAGAAATTATTATTTTCTCTCTTGAACATTGGATGATCTGGGCCAATAGCTGAAGTGTATTTTTATAGCGGACACTCCGGTGTCTTATTGCCCACATGTTCTATCCTCTCTATTTGATATGAATATGACTTGGCCCATTAAGACACTCAGGTTAATGCAGGTTAGATTTCTCATGCCGCGCTATTTCATGATCAAACAATGAATGAATCTAACCGAGTTCTAGGCTATATCATAAAGTTAGAACAATGATGGTGTTCTTGGGGTGATGAGAGATGTTGGGTTTGCGCCAGACAAATCACATGAGAAATTCGAACAAACCGTACAGTTCAGCAAAGCATTATATAGACAGAAATGATTGCATGCATGCAAGGCCCATTGCGACCCAAACGACCAAAAACCTAATCCTACTCATTTAAATATCATAAAAGCATTAAGACAAATTCAAGTTATGAAGAGTATTTTCCATGCTATTCTACTGAGGGGTTTAATATCCTACATTTGAATGACAAATATTTGAGATCACAAGAAGTTAAACTGAGCAAACAGCACATCATTTTCAAGATATCAACAGTTGCTTCAGTAAAACTCTGAAGAATACATCTCAGATTAAACCCAATGTGGTGAAGGCACAAGCTAAGATCTGATGCATCAATATCCCATGGGGCGGCGCACAATTGGCTCCGCGTCGTCCAGGGTAGTGGAGGGAATTGCCGGCAGGGATGTAGCTCAGTTGGTAGAGCATGGCGTTTGCAACGCCAGGGTTGTGGGTTCGTTTCCCACGGGGGGGCCAGTATAAAAAAATAACTAACAATAATGTACTCACTAACTGTAAGTCGCTCTGGATAAGAGCGTCTGCTAAATGACTAAAAAAAATTAAAAAAATATCCATCCCATCCACAACAGTTATGGATGTTACGGATATCGTAACGCTGAAAAACCATCCTGACAATGAAAACAGAGAAACCAATTATAGACCATATAAAACCTTGATGAAAGTTAGCTTTAGAGTGAAATGTTCAAGATGATACGATGTTTTACAAAAACTTTTCCTAAAAACCTTATGGATGTTACATTGCCTATCCCAGTGATCCCCCTATATTTACAAGACTGTCGAACACACAAACAAAACCCAAGACACTTCAATATGGTCTTCATTGCTTCATTAACATCTGATCTTCATAACTAATACTGGGAGACAGCTGTAAGTGGAAGAACCAGCTCTGTAAGCCCTTTGTAAAAGCTTTGAAATATGATTGAATGAAAAGCCTTTTTCTAGACCTGGCTTCCTACTCTGTAATTCTCAGGACATTTAATCCATACCCAGGCCTCCTTTAATACTCCATAATGTTTCATCATTAGATGCTCCTGGTCTCCTTTAAGACTCCATAATGTTTCATCATTAGATGCTCCAGTCCTCCTTTAAGACTCCATAATGTTTCATCATTAGATGCTACAGTCCTCCTTTAAGACTCCATAATGTTTCATCATTAGATGCTACAGTCCTCCTTTAAGACTCCATAATGTTTCATCATTAGATGCTACAGTCCTCCTTTAAGACTCCATAATGTTTCATCATTAGATGCTACAGTCCTCCTTTAAGACTCCATAATGTTTCATCATTAGATGCTACAGTCCTCCTTTAAGACTCCATAATGTTTCATCATTAGATGCTACAGTCCTCCTTTAAGACTCCATAATGTTTCATCATTAGATGCTACAGTCCTCCTTTAAGACTCCATAATGTTTCATCATTAGATGCTACAGTCCTCCTTTAAGACTCCATAATGTTTCATCTGTAGGTGAAGCCTCCTTTAAAACTCCATAATGTTTCATCTGTAGGTGAAGCCTCATTTAAGACTCCATAATGTTTCATCTGTAGGTGAAGCCTTCTTTAAAACTCCATAATGTTAAAGGGATACTGTGAGATTCTGGCAATTTTACAGAGTCAAATTAAATACTGTAGTCCTCAATATCTGTTATTCTAGTGCTCTGCTCAGCCTAAAAACATGACATTCCATGAGAGCAAGATTCTAGTTGGAGCTCTACATCTTTTGTTTTACACCAAGATTATTTTAAATGAGACAATTTTTTGTAAACTGGCCTCAGGTTATTGAGGGATCTGATTTGGATTCAACCTCCGAGCAAGAGATTTGTGGAGGTTTCATTCAGGTCTCTATTTAAATAAACACTGTCTTTGGCAGGAGAAAGACCAGACTCAGAGGAAGCGGAGACGTCCGAACCAGCAAGACGACAACACTGCTCCCACTGTGGAAAGGTTTTTAACCAGTTAGGGGACCTGAAACAACATGAGAGAATACATACAGGAGAAAAGCCATACCAGTGCTCCAAGTGTGGAAAGAGTTTTACCCAGTTAGGGCACCTGAAAGGCCACAAGAGATTGCACACAGGGGAGAAGCCTTATCGCTGCTCCCAGTGCGGAAATAGTTTTACAGCGTTAGGGAGCCTGAAAATACATGAAAGAATACACACAGGAGAGAAGCCTTACTACTGCTCCCAGTGTGGAAAGAGGTTTGCCCGTTTAGGGCACCTGAAAGAGCATACGAGATTGCACACAGGGGAGAAGCCTTACCACTGCTCCCTGTGTGTAAAGAGATTTTCCTCATCGGGGTGCCTGAAAATACATGGGAGGACACACACAGGCGATAAACCTTTCCAATGCTCCCAGTGTGGAAATAGTTTTTCCTTGTTAGCGAGCCTGAAAAGACATGGGAGGACACACACAGGAGATAAGCCTCATTACTGCTCCCAGTGTGGAAAGAGTTTTAACCGGAAAGGACAACTGGAACAGCATGAGAGAATACACACAGGGGAGAAGCCCTACTACTGCTCCCAATGTGAAAAGAGTTTTGCCCGGTTAGGGGACCTGAGAAGACATGAGAGGATGCACACAGGAGAGAAGCCTCATCACTGCTCCCAGTGTGGAAAGAGTTTTAATCAGTTAGGTCACATGAGAAGACATGAGAATACACACAGGACATAAGGATGTAGGATACTGAACAGTAGGACATAGGACATATGTAGGATAATGAACAGTAGGACATAGGACAGATTTAGACTGAACAGTAGGACATAGGACAGATGTAGGCTGAACAGTAGGACATAGGACAGATGTAGGCTGAACAGTAGGACATAGGACAGATGTAGGCTGAACAGTAGGACATAGGACAGATGTAGGTCCAATACATGGTGGGTCAGTAGGCCATAGAGACCCTGAATGTGTCTTGTGTATTGACTTTCCAGTGTTTTCCGTACTGCATGTATTATAGTGGATTGGGTTTGTGGATTTGTTTTCTGACTTCACAAAATGAATTTCCATGTAAATGGACAAAGTATATTGCTCTCCTTTTGAGAAAAGACAATTCCAGTTAGAGAAAGGTTTCCCAAACTCTACCCCAAAGAGTAGATAATAATAATAATTGGTCATTTAGCAGACACTCTTATCCAGAGCGACTTACAGGAGCAATTAGGGTTAAGTGCCTTGCTCAAGGGCACATCGACAGATTTTTCACCTAGTCGGCTCGGGGATTAGAACCAGCGACCTTTCGGTTACTGGCACAACGCTCTTAACCACTAAGCTACCTGCCGCCCAGCTCAGCTTTAATGTTGCAGATAGATTGTAGCTTCCACACTCTTGGCATTCTCTCAACCAGCTTCATGAGGTAGTCACCTGGAATGCATTTTAATTAACAGGTGTGCGTTGTTAAAATTTAATTTGTGGAATTTCTTTCCTTCTTAATGCGTTTGAGCCAATCAGTTGTGTTGTGACAAGGTAGGGGTGGTATACAGACGATAGCCCTATTTGGTAAAAGACCAAGCCCATGTTATGGCAAGAACAGTTCAAATAAGCGAAGAGAAACGACAGTCCATCATTACTTTAAGACATGAATGTCAGTCAATCCGGAAAATATCAAGAATTCTATGATGAAACTGGCTCTCATGAAGACCGCCACAGGAAAGGAAGACCCAGAGTTACCTTAGATAGTTAGTAGGGGTGTAACGATTCGTTTTAACAACGATTCGATTTGTATCACGATTCGTGGTTGTCGATACGATTCAAGGACGATATTGGTTAATTTAGAACGATACGATCTGAAACGATTCAGTGACTTGAAATCGATTCAGTAACCTTTTAGCCAAAAATTCAACCAGTGTGACTGAAATAAATACCTGGATACTGGACAGTGCAGGTGAAGTTTCCTAGATTCCTGTTTCTTGTAAGGACCGCAATGGTGGCTTGATAATTTCTCGCTCGTCGGCTTCTCCTCTGTCGTCCGCCATGCTATGTTTTGTTGTCTTGGCGCCTTTGCGCTGCTGCGATGACGTCACGGATAGGCAGACTGAATCGAGTAATGTTTAAAGCCTTTATCATTAAAAGTGCTAAGAAAAAACATCCATATAAACAGGGGTGCACATCCCTTTTTCAGTGAGTTACTCAGGTGAGTACCAGCAGATGGTGTCTGGTACTCACCCCATATGTAGCGTGGTCTTAATAAGTACAGTCTTCCTCACTGTCCTCTTCCTGCATGGTAGATGAAGATGCTGCAGATACACCTCCCTGTCCTTGGTTGAGCCTCCGATTAGCTGTCTCCATCCACAGGTCAACAGCAAGCTTTGGGTCAAATGTCTCTGTGGTCTGCTTTGACAGGTGAATGTGCATCAGGGCTGAGAGACGAGCATGTGACAGACAAGATCTGTACTTGGTTTTTATTATGTTGAGATGTGAGAATCCCCTCTCACAAGCTGCACTGCTTAAAGGCAGTGTAAGAGACAGCTTAACCACCTTGTTGATGTTGGAATAAGCATCTGGGTTACTTGTACTTACTATTTGGACCAAGTCATACACAGAAGAGGCTCCCAGGCGTTTTCCTGCCTGCTTTAAGCACATCCATTCTGTCACAGTGGTATCTTTGTCAAGTTGCAAGGTGGCCTCATATTTCTTGAGAATGCTGCAAACTGTTGTGTTTCCAAAACTGTGGAGGTCTTGCATTTCCTGAGGCCATGTTGAAGGATCAAATACTAAGAAATGATCACATGACTTGAGGGAGTCATATCTGATTTCAAACTCTTCAATTAACCCCCTGAGTAAGTGTGTCTTGTCTCTGTCAGCATCAGCATTGGAAACAGTGTGTGCCCTGTGGCTTCCACCATCAAGCAGAAGTGTGAACTGTCCAATGGCCACCATGAGTTCATCCTTACATTCTCCAATGGTCAGCTTTTCCTTCTGAAACCTAATGGATGTGGTCTTCAAAATGTTGCAAATGTCAAGCATGTTTGACAGAAAGCACTGAAAACGCTCTGTGCAGATATGCTGCAAGTCACTTATCACTCGTAACCAGTTGCATTTTAATGGCTGGTAATAGTCTTGATATTTTTAACAGTGTTTCATGCCTCCATGCAGACCATCTGGTATTATGAAACTTACCCAGTTCCACAAAGGAGATCCCATTTTCTTCACATAGCTTTATTCAGTGCAGCAGTTTTTTTTGCTCCACCTTTTTGTAAATAAAACTGCAGCAGCTTGACCACAGAGCGATGAAATGTCTCACAGTAAGGAACGTTGCGATCAGCTGATTTTGCGCAATTCTCCAGTGTGTGTGCGGTGCACAGAATGTGCACAAGGGAGTCTCCAACCGCAGCATGTTGCCGGAGTTTTGGCACAACGCCGTTGTAGATACCTACGTTGACAGCAGCCCCGTCTGTGCACACAGCGACCAACTTTGTTGTCCAGTCATCCAAGCCTGTGTCCTGGAAAAGTCTCACAAGTCTGTCTGTTATGGCCTGTGCGGTTCGGTCAGCACCCAATTCAATCAGTCCAATAAAGTCCGAAGTAAACTCTCCGTTGCTGGACACAGACACAATGTAAACTATTTCCTGCTCAGTTTTTGTGATGTCCTCAGATCCATCAAAAAGCAGCCCCCAAAATTCAGCAGACTGCAACTTGGCTCGTAACTCCCCGCTGATGGTGTGAGCGATGCTCTGCATGATCCGTGTGCCCCCTTCACGTGAATGATATGCACCTCCGACATTTACTCCTAGCCGCTTCAGTAAAGGAACATCCTCAGAATAGGAAGACATGGGACGTGCGTGTTTAGCTTTATGGAAAGAGAAAAATATTAAACAGAGCTTGCCGCTGTTCTTCATTCAGCTTGTATCGCCATCTGGCAAGTGGGCGACTGGACATTTATTCTCGGCTAGCTTTTAGCAATGGCTTGCGCCACATTCGTGTGCTCCTTGCTCTTTTCATGTTTGTCAAATAAAGGATGGTTGAAATTCTTTGAGCCTTTATAAAATGCACCTGTTTTGTCTGCTAGATGTGGATTTGAGCGGCAAATCTTGCACCACATTTCAGTGCGCTCATCGTTAGCTTCAAGCCACTGCACATCTTGGAGCCACTTTTCCGAAAAAAGTATTTTCTTCGGCTCTGGCTCCAGTTGGCGTTTCTTTGTAGGTGGCGAAACGCCAAAGAAGCTGCTTAATGTCTGTTGCTTTTTGGACATCCCTGACAGTAGTTGACAAGCAACATGTCATGTGTAAGGTTAGATGAGAAGATCGGTCAAGTACGCAAAGGCGCGTAGTAACACAAGTGGCATTACGCATTCCTGATTTTTGTCGCGCTTGCGTATCTGCGTACCAGTTATGTGCACCCCTGCATATAAAGTCTGACGTGCTTAAATCCAATGGGTTATTTCCTAGTATCGATACAATCGATGTATTACATTTTAAAACGATGTTAGATCGATATATGTTGTCCAAAAGGCCAACTCGCCGAGCACAGATCGATGTAGTTGGATCATAGGAATATAAATCGATACATCGATGTAGTAGATGGATCGTTACACCCCTAGTGTTATCATTTGTTTGTGCTTATGACCTGACACATAGCCACATGCACATAATCTCAAGGGCCAGGGAGGTTGGTAAATGATAAATGTTTAAATGTATGTGGTTGAGAATGGGTTACGGATGACATGTTTAAACCATGTTTAAGTATTAATTGATATGTTTTATAATGTGTTATGAAATAAAGGTAAAACAGAATGAACATGATTGATACTTTGTACTCCAGAATATGTCTGGATAGTGAATATGTCAATACAGAGTGTGATTGTTCTTTAACGTACGTATGTACATACTTTTTTGAGTCACGCCACTAATAAGATACAGCAGCTTGCCAGTTGGCTGTAGTGGGTGTAGGGGTACTCCACTAGCAGCTTACCCGTTGGGGTGGCTACCCACTAGAGCTTACCAGTTGGCTGTAGGGTACTCCCTAGCAGCTTGCCAGTTGGCTGGGCTATCCACCCCCGCTTCCCGTTTGGCTGTAGGCTATCCATAGGCTTTCTAGTTGGGTTAGGCTACTCCAATACGGCTTGCCCCGTTTTGGTGTAGGTACTTATAGAGCTTACCAGTTGTGTAGGCTTTCTCACTAGCAGTTCCCATTGGCTGTAGGCACTCCCCCTACAGCTTGCCAGTTTCGTGGTCTCTACACAGCTTTCCAGTGGGGGAGGCTACTCCACCAGCAGCTTCCATTGGCTTTAGGCAACCCCACTAACAGTTAACGTGGCTGTAGGCTACTCCACTAGCTTACCAGTTTTGGGGTAGGTACTCCCCTGCAGTTTGCCAGTTTCTTAGGCTTTACTAGCAGCTTACCAGTTTTGGCTGTAGGGTACTCATACAGCTTGCAATTGGCTGTGCACTTACGCAGTGGTTGGCTTAGGCTATCCACATGCCTAGCTTAGCTACCAGTTCCAGTGGCTGTAGGCTACTCCACTGTTAGCCATTGGCTGTAGGCTACTCTACTAGCAGCTTACCAGTTGGCTGTAGGCTAATACCGCAGTTGGCTGTAGGGCGCTATACTCTTACAGTGGCGTAGGCTACTCTACTAGCACTTACCATTGGCTGTAGGCTACTCCACTACAGCTGCAGTTGGCGTAGGCTACTCCATAGCAGCTTACCATTGGCTGTAGGCTACTCCAATAGCAGCTTAACCAGTTGGCTGTAGGCTACTCCACTAGCAGCTTGCTAAAAACTGTAAGCAAGCTAGCCTTTTAGCTTCCCTCAGATTTAGATGTGGCTTAGTGTTGTAGGTTACGGTCTTGCTGAAAGGTGAGTTCCTCTCCCAGTGTCTGGTGTAAAGCAGACTGAAGCAGGCTTTCCTCTAGGAAATCCTGTTTCTTTTCATCCTGTAAAACTCCCCAGTCTTTGACGATGTCAAGCATTTCCTTACCATGATGCAGCCATCACCATGCTTGGAAATAAGGAGGCAGTTACTCAGTGATATTATGTTGGATTTGACCCAAATGTAAGGTTTTGCATTTAGGCCCAAAAAGTGTATTGATTTGTTATGTTAATTTTTTTGCAGTATTACTTTAGTGCCTTGTTGCAAACAAGATGGATGTTCTGGAATATTTATATTCTCCTTTCACTCTGTCATTTAGGTCATTATTGTGGATTATTGGGGATAGTCACATGTACAGGGTTGCAGGTGGTCATTATTGTGCATAGCCAAATGTACAGGGTTGCAGATGGTCATTATTGTGAATAGTAACATGTACAGTGTTGCAGGTGGTCATTATTGGGGATTGTGAATAGTCACATGTACATGGTTGCAGGTTTGACATTATTGGGGATTATTGGGAATAGTCACATGTTCAGGGATGCAGGTGGTCATTATTGGGAATAGTCACATGTACAGGGTTGCAGGTGGTCATTATTGGGAATAGTCACATGTACAGGGTTGCAGGTGGTCATTATTGTTGATTATTGGGAATAGTCACATGTTCAGGTTTGCATGTGGTCTTTATTGTGGATTACTGTGAATAGTCATGTGCAGGGTTGCAGGTGGTCAGTATTGTGAATAGTCACATGTACAGGGTTGCAGGTGGTCATGATTGTGGATTATTGTGAATAGTCAAGAGGAGGTCTGCTGGACAGAGAAAGACGTTACAGTGAAAGAAGAGGAGGAAGAGGAGGATGTCACAGTTAAAACAGAAGTAGAGGGTGAAGCTGTTACCGTGAAAGAAGAGGAAGAAGTTACAGTGAAAGAGGAGGAGGCAGTTTTTGGAGTGAAGGAGGAGGGGGAGATTACTGTCACATTGACAGAAGAGGAGACTGGAGAGCTGATTAACACCAGTAAGTAGTGTTTTAAAAACAGTGGCACAAACTCTGTAGTTGTTGAACTATTGAACTAATGTGTCGTCTTAAAGACTGCGGTCAGGTGAGCCGTCATTCGCAAAACGCGGTCAAGCCACCCACCCTTCTGTTTCCGCCTGAATTCTCTTACCGAATAGATACCACTTAACTGTACCGCGTGTTTTCTGGGAGGGAAACTGAGTCGGATGCTCTCTAATGCTCCGACAGAAACGATAGCTACAAATCATTCCAAGCAAACAGTTTGAGCCAAACTTATTCAATCTTTCATAATCAAAATGATACCAAATCGTTAATTTTATTTTCGCACCTTATAAAAATGACTTTGATATCACGGGTAGAGTGAGGCTGCAGAGGTTGCAGTAGCCCAACGTTGGTGCTGTTTAGGAAATGTTAAATTGTCAAAGCAAGATGTGTTTACGGTCATGATACACACACAGGAAGATCTAAATGCGCTTGATATGTTTTTAGTAAATCATGAATCCAGTGTGATGACCGTTGCTTACCATACGATGTCCATATTATGCCAACTTAAAATATGGGTTAATATAATTACTTATTCTATATTACAGTTAACTTTGAAGTAAAATTGGATGGTAAACATTTTGTCATGTCTGCCACTAGTACGTCACTAATCCATTTTCATTAACATCGCGTTATGGTGGCTTCAACATGGGGAACACTAGTTTACTGCACAGTGCATTAGGAAAGGATTCAGACCCCTTAACTTTCTCCACATTTTGTTACGTTGAAGCCTTATTCTAAAATGGATTAAATCTTTTTTTCCCCTCATCAATCTACACACAATACCCCATAATGACAAACTGTTTTTGCTAATTTATAAAGAAAAATACTGAAATATCACATTTACATAAGTATTCAGACCCTTTACTCAGTACGTTGTTGAAGTACCTTTGGCAGTGACTACAGCCTCGAGTCTTCTTGGCTATGACGCTACAAGCTTGGCACACCTGTATTTGGGGAGTTTATCCCATTCTTCTCTGCAGATCCTCTCAAGCTTTGTCAGGTTGGATGGGGAGTGTCGCTGCACAGCTATTTTCAGGTCTCTCCATAGATGTTAGATCAGGTTCAACTCTGGGCTCAGGCTGGGCCACTCAAGGACATTCAGAGACTTGTCCCGATGCCACTCCTGTGTTGTCTTGGCTGTGTGCTTAGGGTCATTGTCCTGTTGGAAGGTGAACATTCGCACCAGTCTGAGGTCATGAGCGCTCTGGAGCAGGTTTTCATCAAGGATCTCTCTGTACTTTGCTCCGTTCATCTTGCCCTCGATCCTGACAAGTCTCCCAGTCCCTGCCTCTGAAAAACATCCCCACAGCATGATGCTGCCACAACCATGCTTCACCGTAGGGATGGTGCCAGGTTTCTTCCAGATGTGACACTTGGCATTCAGGCCAAAGAGTTCAATGTTGGTTTCATCAAACCAAATCATCTTGTTTCTCATGGTCTGAGAGTCTTTAGGTGCCTTTTGGCAAGCTCCAAGCGGGCTGTCATGTGCCTTTTACTGAGGAGTGGCTTCTGTCTGGCCACTCTACAATAAAGGCCTGATTGGTGGAGTGCTGCAGAGATGGTTGTCCTTCTGGAAGGTTTTCCCACCTCCACAGAGGAACTCTGGAGCTCTGTCAGAGTGACCATCGCGTTCTTGGTCACCTCCCTGACCAAGGCCCTTCTCCCCTGATTGCTCAGTTTGGCTGGGCGGCCAGCTCTAGGAGGAGTCTTGGTGGTTCCAAACTTTTTCCATTTAAGAATGATGGAAGCCACTGTGTTCTTGGGGAACTTCAATGCTGCAGACATTTTTTGGTACCCTTCCCCAGATCTGTGCCTCAACACAATCCTGTCTCGAAGCTCTACGGACAATTCCTTCAACCTCATGGCTTTTGCACTGACATGCACTGTCAACTGTGGGACCTTATGTAGACAGGTGTGTGCCTTTCCAAGTCATGTCCAATCAATTGAATTTACCACAGGTGGACTCCAATCAAGTTGTAGAAACAACTCAAGGATGATCAATGGAAACAGGATGCACTGGAGATCAATTTGGAGTCACTTTTTCATTATGGGGTATTGTGTGTAGATTGAGGAGGGGAAAAAAACAAGTTAATCAATTTTAGAATAAGGCTGTAATGTAACAAAATGTGGAAAAAGTCAAGGGGTCTGAATACTTTCCGAATGCACTGTAGACAGAGCTAAGAGTCTCACCAAAGCAGTGCAAAATATCCGGTTAGAAATTATTATTTTCTCTCTTGAACATTGGATGATCTGGGCCAGTAGCTGAAGTGTATTTTTATAGCGGACACTCCGGTGTCTTATTGCCCACATGTTCTATCCTCTCTATTTGATATGAATATGACTTGGCCCATTAAGACACTCAGGTTAATGCAGGTTAGATTTCCTCTCTATTTGATATGAATATGACTTGGCCCATTAAGACACTCAGGTTAATGCAGGTTAGATTTCCTCTCTATTTGATATGAATATGACTTGGCCCATTAAGACACTCAGGTTAATGCAGGTTAGATTTCCTCTCTATTTGATATGAATATGACTTGGCCCATTAAGACACTCAGGTTAATGCAGGTTAGATTTCCTCTCTATTTGATATGAATATGACTTGGCCCATTAAGACACTCAGGTTAATGCAGGTTAGATTTCCTCTCTATTTGATATGAATATGACTTGGCCCATTAAGACACTCAGGTTAATGCAGGTTAGATTTCTCGTGCTGCGCTATTTCATGATCAAACAATGAATTAATCTAACCGAGTTCTAGGCTATATCATAAAGTTAGAAGTTATTTTTCTATAACCTAAAACATGGGATACCTAAAGTAATAATGAGACAGAGAAGGAACAATGGCAAGATATAAAAATCACATGAGAAATTCGAACAAACCGTACAGTTCAGCAAAGCATTATATAGACAGAAATGATGCATGCATGCATGCAAGGCCCACTGCGAACCAAACGACGAAAAACCTAATCCTACTCATTTAAATATCATAAAAGCATTAAGACAAATTCAAGTTATGAAGATTATTCATAACTAATACTGGGAGACAGCTGTAAGTGGAAGAACCAGCTCTGTAAGCCCTTTGTAAAAGCTTTGAAATATGATTGAATGAAAAGCCTTTTTCTAGACTTAGCTTCCTACTCTGTAATTCTCAGGACATTTAATCCATACCAAGGCCTCCTTTAATACTCCATAATGTTTCATCTGTAGGTGCTACAGTCCTCCATTAAGACTCCATAATGTTTCATCATTAGATGCTACAGTCCTCCTTTAAGACTCCATAATGTGTCATCATTAGATGCTACTGGCCTCCTTTAAGACTCCATAATGTTTCATCATTAGATGCTACAGTCCTCCTTTAAGACTCCATAATGTTTCATCATTAGATGCTCCAGTCCTCCTTTAAGACTCCATAATGTTTCATCATTAGATGCTACAGTCCTCCTTTAAGACTCCACAATGTTTCATCTGTAGGTGAAGCCTCCTTTAAGACTCCATAATGTTTCATCTGTAGGTGAAGCCATTTTTAAGACTCCATAATGTTTCATCTGTAGGTGAAGCCTCCTTTAAGACTCCATAATGTTTCATCTGTAGGTGAAGCCTCCTTTAAGACTCCATAATGTTTCATCTGTAGGTGAAGCCTCCTTTAAGACTCCATAATGTTTCATCTGTAGGCAGGGACGGCCTGTTCAATAGGGCGATATGGGCGACGCACTGCCAAACGGGAAAAGGAAGGGATTTTTTTTCTAATCAATTATATCACGGCAACAGTAGTTATCAGTGTTGTAATCTATACGTCTGATCTGCCACAGTGCCACACTGCCACTAAATGTCGAATCAGGCTAAAGTCGTGCTTCAAATGGCTCCACCCCCTTTTGGGGCGATTTCAGTCAGATTGAAAATCGCCCAGAACTTCTGTCATAGACTCCCATGTAAAATCTATTTTTTTCAAATTTCAGAGCCTTCAATACAATCTCAATGGGTGTCTGTGGGCTTGCACTTACGCGCTTTCGTCACATGAACGTAACTAAGAAAAGAGAGGGTAGCAGCGTCAATCAATTCACTACTACTATCAACATGGCTAGGCTTCAGTGCAACTCGGTTGTGTCTTTGAAAGAATTTCCTTTTTGTCAGCGAACAAATGAAGATAAATTGGCAACGAAACAATTAGGACCTCCCAGACCAAATTTAATAATTCAACAGGTTTCTACTAAAGGCGGAAAGTCCTACACCCGAGGATTTTCCAAAAATTGGTACGAACGAAAAAAGACATTGCCACTCACTCAACTGGATGACGAGGGATACAGGCTAGCTGTCCGCCGCCACAACGATGAGGTTAGTGTTGATAATCACACGTTTACTGGATGTGGATATGGTGTAATAAAGGCAGTTTATTCAGAGGTAAATATATCTGGAATCGCGTTCACGGACCCGTTCGTCAAACTCTTAAAAATGAACTTGGGCTGGGAATTGCCAGGAACCTCACGATAAGATATATGCATCAGCATTGCGAGTCTCATGATTCTATACGTATTGCGATTCGATACTGTGATTTTATTGCGCACCATATGTCTGTTGCAGAGGGATCAGAAAGCCATGAGAACGAGTTTTGATCAGTCATGGAAATAAAAGTGCTGAAAACAAATTGGCTCCCAATGTGAAAAGATTGAGAACAAGCTATGAAGGAACAATAATGGTGTTTTGGTGCAGGTACAGCCAACTAGCGCTAAAATATTGCGATATTGTCAATACAGTATATCGTAAAGTATCACTATGTAACTCGATTTCTTTCACCCCAATCCCTCAAATTAACGGTAAATAACTGAATTGTTTGCCCCACATTTAGCTAAGATGATTAGCTAGCCAGCTAAAATGTTTTAGTTAGTTAGCAGTCGCATCTACAATAGTTTACTGTCAATAACATGTCTCCAAAAATGACGTGGTGTCTCCAATTGTGTTGACA